TCCCCATCTCTCTCCTGTCTCTCTCTCTCTTCTGCGGCGTCCCGGGCATCTCTTGCGTACGATGCTGAGTCGTTCTCGTAGGCTCTCTGATCTCCTCGCTGCCCGTCTTCTCGCTCTCTCCTATCTGCTGCGACCCGAGTGCTGCGTCTGGTCTCTCTCATTGGTTGGGGGGCTTCTCCTAGTCCCTATCTCGTCTCTTCTCGCACGGCAACCGGGCTCTCCTCTGCTCTTGGCTCTCTTCTCCCCCCATCTCGTCTCTACTCTGCTCTATACTCGCGGGGCTCGCCACGGGGATCGTCTCATCTGGTCTCGTACTGCTCGTTGCTTGCTTGCGGAGCGGTGACCCGGGGTGATGCCTCCGTCGTCGTCCTCTCTCTTCTCCTCACCCATCTCTCTCTCTCTGCTCTCTTCTCCTCCCCATCTCTCTCTCTCTCTCTCTGGGCTGTGCTACGCTGGCGGGCCCGAGAGATCGTCGCTCTCTCTACTCTCATTCTCCTGCAGGGCCCGAGCATCCTTTCTCTCTCTGCGTGTTCTGCCGTGCACCGCGGATCGTCTGCGTCTCTTTCCGGGTTCTTCTTCCTCGCCATCTCCTCTCTCTCTCGTCCTCTGCTCTTCTCCTCGTCCGAATCTCTGCGTCCTCATCGTGATTCCTCGCTGCGCCGTATCTCTCGTCTCCTAATTCTGCCTGACCCGACTAGATCTCTCATCTCTCTCTCTCGTCTATGTGCTCCTCCCTTAGTCTCTTCTCTCCGTCTGTCTCCTCTGCCTCCAGCATATCTCGTCTCTGCTCTCTTCCTCTCTGCACTCCCGTATCTTCTCTCTCTCTCTCCGTCTCCTCCCTATGCTGCTCTCTCTGACCTCCCTAGCTGCCTCTCTTGCTGGGGGGGCGGCTGCGGGGCCTACTCTCTCTCTGCTTCCCTGCCCCTATCCTCCTCTCTTGCTCCTCGCCTATCTCTCGTCTCCTCTTCTCGCCTATATCCCTCTCTCGTCGTACTATCCTGCCTCGCCCAGGTGGCGCTAGCTGCTCTCTGGCTGGGCGTCGGTCTACCTGGAGGGTCTGGCCGATATGCTCGCTCCCATGCTCTCTCTCTAGTCCGCCCGTTGCATCTCTCTCTCGGCTCTTGCTTGAGGCCCCCCTATGCTCGTGCTCGTTGCAGGCTCTGTGGCTGGACCCCCCGTTATCTCTCTCTTCGGTCATCTTCTGGCTGGCCCACCTCTGCTCGTAGCGGCTGCTCTATCGTGCCCCGGGGGGCGTAGTGACGGTGTCTCTCTACTCTCGCTCTCTATCTCCGCCTCTATCTCTCGTCGCGGTTCTGCTCTCTCTGTTCCCCCCCCACCTGCTCTCGTTTTCCCGTCCGCCATTTCTCTCTCGTCCTCCCCGCACCCCCGTTTCTCTCATCTCTCTCTCATCTCACAGGAGAATGAGCTATACTCCCGGGAGACAGAGGCCAGAATTACTTGACTGCACGCCTCAACACTAGTGTGGCATGAACGGACCATCCCCGTGCCTGAGGCTTGCATGAGGGCTAGGTTGTAGAAGGCCAAAACATGACCAGACTGGGAGGCTAAGTTGAAGTACTTAATGGCCATCTTGTAGTCCCTCCGAACACCCATTCCACCTGTAATTGAAGTTTTTTTTTGTTTTGAGTTTTTGTTTTTCTTCTTCCAAAATTGCACAACTGAAATTACAACCAAATGCATGAATCTTGAAACAAACTTTCAGTGCATTCCATTTGATGCAATCCTGCACTCTGACTTACTGAAGTACATGTTGCCAAGTTGCAGCTGGCCATCCACCCATCCTTGCTCTGCAGCTGAAGTGAAGTACTTGAGTGCTAGCTGGTAGTCTTGAGGAACCCCACAACCATGGAGGTACATCAAACCAAGACCACTCTGTCCAACAGCATTATTTTGATCTGCTGCACGCTTGAAGTACTTCAGAGCAGTTTCGTTACTCTGCTTCACGACAGAGCTACCGTCCAGGTACATCTGCAGGTATAGAGTTTGGTTAAGGGCTTTTATATCTCTGGCAAAATTTGGTATCCCCGCAATAAAATTGCAAAAGTCAGTCCACGTGAGATGGAGCACTTGAAAAACTACCAATCAAACTCACTACTGATGGGGGCTCAAGACAAAAGAAAAAATTGTCAACAAATTACTCTATTGAGCAAATTATATAAAGTGACTCAATACCTTGCCAAGAAATGCCATAGCATTTGCATTGCCTGCCTCTGCAGCTTGTACGAAGTAGTTAAGTGCTCGCTGGTGGTCCTGTTCCACCCCTCGTCCGCCTTGGTAATGAAGCTGACCCAAACCCACCTGCAAAGATTCAATGATTGTAATTTACAGAGTAAAAATGGATCCCCTAATCAAATTGTGAATCACACCACTGAAATCATTTCAGGAATGATTCCCATGCTATTATGAGACAAGTATTAGGAACAGAACATTTTATGATTATGGCTATTAATCTAATTACCAACGTTAATAATACAAATATCTAACCTGAGCCTGTACATCTCCTTTCTCAGCAAGAAACTGATAGTATTGAATGAGATCGTCATCCAAGGGCGTAGACAGGGATCCTGGGCTGTCAACTTCATCCAATAGACGCACTCTCTGCACCACACGATTTCTGGTCAAGGAAACCTCGTCTGCAACTGGAAGGCATATTTAGATTACACTATTTGAAAGTAGGGAATATAAATTGTACAAGTATTATAATTTTACTGACTGGTGATATTAACCCATTCCTGATGGGTGTATGCCAACAGTAGTTTTAATTTGAGAGTTTTGTTTATGTAAAAGATGGCGTCACAGCACTTGAGTCACCAAGGAATCACTTGTAGTCGTAGCAGACCTCATTTGATTCTTCGCCCTGGTCCCCTGAAACCATTATTATCATCATCATTTTTGTGATTATCATTATTCTACAGCTGTTAACAATACTAATATCAACTGAAGCAAAATATTATTTCCCCTAAAATCAAGAAAAACGGGTAAACATGCGAGATTAGGTAGGACTAGCAACCAAGTCCTTTGTGATTGAGCAATTTTGTGGTACTATCTATTTGAACAAAATCAATTAACTAAAATCACAGTGGACTTGGCCTGGCATCCTGGGAACACTGGGTTAATTTACTGTATGTGGGGGAAGAGGGGAAATTGAAGAAGGAATAAAGAGGAAGAAATAAAGACAACACAAAAGGCTGCAAAAAAAACTGTGACAATGCAAAGAATTAGATAAGATGACAAGGACGAAGAAAAAGTTAACGCAGAGGCCTACCTGTATGTGAAACCTTCCTGTAATAGGTAAGGGCTGTCTCGCAGTTTGAAGCTACACTAATGCCTGACCAGTATCTGTAGGCCAAGGCCATCTGTGCCCATTGGCTGCCACCCAGAGCACCAAATGTGTAATACACCAGTGCTTTTGCCTGGCTGGAATTCTTCCCAATTCCTGTGGCATACATGAAGCCCAATCCCTAGAGAGGGGAAGATAAAGAATTATTTTGTCAAATATACCAAATGCAAGTCTTGGCTGAGAGAGAAAATCCGTCAGCAGTCGCATAATATTTTGTCTTATATTTATATTCCTGAATCTTTCTTTCTCAGCTAATATAATGGACTAAAAAACAGAACATTCATGGCTTACAAATAACAACAGTAAAAACAAATACATATAAAAATATAATATATATATATTGGCATCAATATATTGATGCCAATCATTTCTCCTTAACTTCTTGTCATCGGCCTAGAAACCCTATACCTACCATTTGAGCATCAGCATTGCCTTGCATGGCTAAGCTTTCAAAGATTTCTACAGCTTGTGTGATGTTCTGCTTGAGGTGCTTCCCCAGCAGGCGTGCCCAGGCCACCTTCTGCAGGGCCTCTGTATGCCCCAACTCTGCTGCCGACTGCAAGAATGTATAGGCATGCTTCTCGTCCTGCTTCGTCTGGTTCAAGATGGCCATAGCTGCATCATACAACTCATTTGCTGGAGGGAAAAAAGCAAAGGACATTTATCTAGCATTATCTATTTATTCATTATTGTTATTATTATCATTATTTTTATTATTAAAGCAAGCATTTATATGGATTATGATTCTTATCAAAATTTTGCTGTAACATTTAATGATACCAGTAAGATTTTGTACTAACATCTGCAAAGGGGGTAATGTGGCAACTTTAAAATACTGGTGACATCAGTAACTGTACTATTTATCTAATCCCCAATTTCCTTTACACATCTGACACAATTTGCACATTTAATCCAACGAATGCCAATCACTGATGACGTGTAAAAAAATGGTGGGCTGTTTTTTTTGTCATTTTCTAATGATTATGGTGGCTAGCAAGTGCAAATTTGCAAATCTGGTACTGTCTAACAGGTTTCCTGCAGTTACATCCACCATCACATGCTGTCCCCCTCCCCCAGCCCAAATAGTAAATTATACTCCACAAGCAGAGCTGCATTGCACTTCAAAACTCAAAAAAAATTTACTAATTACTACTACCACTGGGAAAATGATCCCATGGTGATGGAAAAATACTTTGTATCACACAAGATAGAGAAACATTTAGAAAGATAGTATTAAAGCTTAGAGATAGAGTTAAAAGACAGAAAAAAACCAAATTTTGAAAGATAGAAAGAGAAAAAGACAGTGAGAAAGAATTAAACTCTCAAAGATAAAACAACTGTATTGCTTATACTAATACAGGTATTTGAAGAATAGAGCTACCTTTCAAGCTGAACTCCAGACACAAAAGAACAATTATAATGATAATACTATGAAAGCAAAAGAAAGCCTTTATTCTCACCTCTGATTTCCTTTGGTGTCAAAGGCTTTTTGGGTTCCTTATCAGCTGCGGTCTCTCCATCTTTCTCTTCTGCACCCTCTTCTCTGCTGGCACTATCTCCTTCACTGTTTACAGCTTCTGTTGACTCTAGATTCTTCTCAACTTCACCTTGTTCCTGGTCATCAGCATTACTTAGCTGGAAATGTACAAAAAAATACCTCAGATTTGAGAATCAAAAGAGCAGGATATGTAATGTAGTGTAACGGAAAAAAGAAAAAGAAAGAAAGAAAGAAAAAAGTAAAATGTCAATGTGTAACTATTTGTACTATTTGTGAGATTTTAAGGTGCTGCAGCTACTATTGCTAGCTATCTGAATAAAGCGTGTAATTTATATTTTAATTGAATATGTATTTTCTATTCTTTGTGGAATTATTCATGCCGGACTATGGCTTCCAACACGTGAAGGAGGCAGAAGGCAGGAGTTGAAGAGGGGATGGTGGGATGGACTACACGAGAGAGGAGTAACTTTGAAATCTAAAAATTACCGTTGTTGGTGTTGTTTCTGCTGACACCAGCACTACACAAGCAAGGGTCACCAGGAGGACCGCCCACCATGCCTTCAGTCGCGTCATCTTATGGTGCTCTGTTGGAATAAAAAGTACCTTGTGAGTCCTCATGATAAATATTACAGAAGTCACTAGACCAATAAAATCAGAAATTCAATGAGCATAAAGGATTTCCAGTAGTCTACAAGATTTGAGGTTCTATCTTCCTATTTATACTATTATGATGCTTACTAAAAAATCCTTAACAGCAACCTATAAAACAACATCTTCATTTAACCCAATACTGCCGGAAACAAGCAATGTTCAATGTAGTAAAGCTTTGTTAATTGGAGTTATACGTAAACGGCTCCAAAAGTGCAAAACCACCAAGGAGTCAATAAGTGGATCTGTAACCTTCCCTTATCCCCTTATGATCTGTTTCTTCTTCTTTATGAAGCTATTGATATTGATAATGTTATCATCATTATTGACATTATAATTACAATGTTATTAACAATACTAATAGCAATATAAAATATAAATGAATAATCCCAAAAATACAGAAAAAGGATAAACAGAGAAGATTGGGAGGACTAATCAATTGACTCCTTGGTGACTGAGCACTAGAGGAGCCAACTTTGTGTCAATATACAATCAATAAACTAAACTCTCAGTGAGCATAGCAAATTTGAAAATGCCACTCCCAGTGTTAATGGGTTAGTAACAACTGAGGCATAATAACCAGAGTATAGTCTATGCAACCTTTTCCTAGTTATGAAATAGTTAAGAAATATATAAGGCATAATAGAAAGAAAGAACAAAAGAAAAAACAAAAAGGAAGGAAAGAAAGAAAACATCAAGATTAAAGGCTCTATCACACTAACACTTTTTCTGTCATTTTTTGCGTTTCCGAATGAACTCTGTATGAAAATCATGTAAACAAACATGGCGCTATCGGAGTGAGGTCCTGGGAATCACACTAACATTCTCATACATATTATGTTATTTTAAAGAAATATGATGATGTATATTGTATATACAAAAGTTTAATATATTAGCTTATGTTTACATTCACTCATCCTATCTAATTTATTAATAGCACAAGATCAACACGGAAATTAGTCAGACGGAAACAGTCATAATCGTCTTGGTCAGGGAGGCGTTCCATTTATAGACAATCCTTGCGGAAAGCCTCAAATTCAGACGGAACCCCAGAAATTGACGGAAAAAGTACTAGTGCGATAGGGCCTGAAGTCCTCTATAAAGAAATTCACAAGTCAAAAGAAATAGTCCTACCTCTTTCAAAAAAGGGATATTACAGATGGGGAGAATAAGTGTTACCATCCCTCCATGCTGCTCTGGTCGAAACTCTTGCTTGTGACAACACGATCTGGGAACAAGCAACCTCACTGTCACATGTGAAGGTATATACCAAGAATATAACTGAAGGAATAGGTAAAATAATTATGGAAAGTAAAGAGGCATGAATGAAAATGAAAGCAAATGTTTTCCCATAATGTAATAACTTTTCATGTATATGGTTCTTCAAAATTGTTTTTTTTTTTGGCATTTCATAACCATGGTTTTGGCTATATATACACTATATATAGTATATGAAATGAATAGATTCTTGAAGATCTTAACAGTATATACATAATTTCCTCCACCCACTGGAAATAAAAAGTTACCAATAAATGATAAAAATTTAACTCTGCAGTTCTATTTGCAGTACTTAGGCATTCAACTCATCTATTGACAAAAAACAAGCAAATTAGCTGTACATCAACAAAGCAGCCATGAATAAAGAAACAGCACTTATGTAAACATGATAAAGTGGTACTGTTGCAGGAGACTATTAACTGCTGCCTATATTGATGACGTGACTTGGAGATTCATCAACAAAGGAATCAGACCAAATTCTGTCCTTCTAGAATATATATAAGAAACCATGTACAGCCACCTGTACTTGTATCTGATGAACCTTGTTTTCGGTTGACATAAGAAATGGCAACACTGTGATTGCTTACATTCTCGTACTACATCGTGAGTGGATTGGAGTAAAACCTTATTTTATTCATTAGTTCACCATATAAGGCATTTTAGTTTTATTCATAAATGCTGTTACTGTGCCTATGCAAATATATAACACTGAGATAACTAAATGTAGCAACACTGGATATAAATAATGTAATACATATATGCAGATTGTGGGGTATGAGGGTAGCTTGGGGGATAGGGGGTAGGCTCTACCCAAGGCTAACATGATATGGCTAGTGAGAATCTGTGTATGAAGTTCTATTCCGACTTGAGCTGCGACTTTGAATACAGTCTTCAGATTGTTATGGCTTATCTTTTATTGAAATATTTCACGCCAAAGAAGCACTGAAACACTACCACGAAAATTCATATCCAGAAATTTGAACTTTTAACAAATGCTAAATATTTTACATATTGACTACATGGCATATTAGGCATCTCCTAGCCCTTTTACAAACAAGCAGTTGCTTTTTTTCTTTTTGCTAAGATGAACAACCATCAAACACTAGTTGAATATTCTTTTGCCCATTACCAGAAGTGTGTGCACATGAGTGGGCACAGTATATATTGTGTATTAATGCAACAGCCTTTAAAACATACTCTCTTTCTTATACCATTGAAGGGCAATCCCTCTTTCCTCATTTCATATTACATAATGACATTTACAGGAATGTCATAACTGTAATCGCCTTGGGCACAGCTCCCTTCCTTAGCTACTACCATGACCTACAACCTGCAAAATACCTATTATGCTATTTATAACCGTTGTTGGTGTATTTTGTAATCTCACGGTTACATCTATACACAATCACAGTAACAGCATTCTTGAATACAATTAAAAATTTTCTACATAGCAAACTAATGTGTCTAATGTGATTTGGTCCAATCCATTCAAGCTGTAGTATGAGAATGTAAACCATCATAGAGCTGCTGCTTCTATAGTCCACTGTCCACTTAAAAAAAAGTGTACTATGTATTAGGGCAGGCAACTGTACATATCATATGATTTCTCTCTCTTTTACTCTCTTAGTACATCAAAATACACAAAATGCATACATATATATCTTGTATATGAAAGCCTTACCTGTAATATACTAAAAATGACAATATACTATGACAAGAACTAAATCACATTCGGGCTTCCACTGAATCAAGAGCAATAACGCTATTCTTACAAGTGGTAACATACAGTTTAAACTTGCTATGTAGCTTGAAAGACAAACAAACAAATAAAGTACTGTTATGTAGGTATTTCTCTCTCGATTTCAGAAATGACATTACCTATCTTTTCTACAACAAAGACAAACTCATTCATAATAGTGACAAGGCATAAAGTATGTCTTTAACACCCTATATCTGACTACGATATAACACATATAACTGCAATACTTTCGAGATGTAACTGAAAATGGATGTAAACCCAAAGATCCTCCTTGCTACTAATAAAAATAGTCTCTGGTCAATGACTAAATCAAAATTCCAATCAGGCTGTAAAGCTTACATTTCTCCATTACTGATGAAATTTGGTTAATGTTGAGCAACCCACAGAGATAGAGGGAAATGGACACAGCCATTTAATAGAGCATGAGAAATAGAGTCGTACACAGCACAGGTACAGCTGCTGTGGCCTTATATTCAATGCGAAATGATTAAAGTACCTGCTGCATATGACTACTCTGATACGAAGTCCACAATGCCCTCATATAGCCAGAATTCTAAATGTTGCATTTACTTTAAGTTGGAATAAAGTAATAATATTGGGAATTTGCTCCCCCCGTTTTGGTAAAAAATAGAAGGTAGGAAACGTTGGATTTGAATGTTTGTTCGTATTATACCCATGGTGTGCCGCTCTTGGTAACAAATACCTAAAATTGAAACTTACAGATACTTATTAAATTCCTGAAATTCAGTCTAAAATTCTCTCTCTTTCACAAATCAAATCTTAAGGTCTCCCCCCTTAATCCATGAAGATGAATCTATGTTTCTCATCATTGACAGAATCCAGATTTTTAAGTTCAAGAAAAAAGTTTAACTCTTTACAGTTTTTTGAGACAAACTGTGTTATCAGATGATTGTTAAAGACATCACAAACGATAATGAAATAAAGCAACAGTTGGTATTCCTTTACATACTTCAATTACATAAAACAAAAGAAAAAAGATGAAGAAGAAGAAAAAAAAAGTTGATCCACGCAAAATCATTAACAGGTAAAAAAAAAAAAAAAAGTACGATCTCTAAATAAAACCAAACTTTACTCATTTCCCCAGAAAACCCACTGAAAACACGAACAATTAAAGACCTAAATAACCTAATATGCACAACAAGGACATTCACAACCAGTCAGATGCAAAAACGACTTAAAATCCCCGAGAATACAAGACCAAACAGGTAACTCACATCACACACTCAATTCGCACTTCCATCCATATGTTCCTTCTTCCTGAACAATTATTGAACATAACACCACATTCAACATCAGACAGACACGCGTACATCCAACTCTTACCAAGATAAATGACAAAAATCACATAAAAAACACATAAATTCACATAATCGGTTTCGCTGTCTCTCTTTCGGCCACGTAATGTTTTCCTTCTGGTTAGCGGATGTCAAAAGGTATCGGGGCGCTTTTCCGCTCGATGTTAGCGAGGTTTGCTATCTTCGTGGGTATTGGGTGATTTGGGATTGGTATTTGTGGTATTTCGGTATTTTATTTACGGTTTGGATTGTAATGGTATCTTAACCCCGATGACTTGTGAAGGTCGAAAAGTATTCGGGCGCTTTTCCGCTTGGTGTTAGCGTATTTTGCTCTATTCAGTGAGATTTGCGTATTTTTGAGGGTATATTTGTGGTATTTTGGTATTATCTGCTTGTTTTTTAAATTTCGTGATATTTTATATATGTTATCTATCGGATTTCAAGAGATGTTCGGGTACCTTTAAGCTCGGTATTTTAGCGAGGCTTGCTGTGTTAGTATGATTTGCGTATTTTACGGGTTTTATTTGCGGTATTGTGGTAGTTTATTTTGATGTTTGATATTAGGATATTCTTAATGTGTTTTAAGCCTTCTATAGTCGGCGCGGTTCGCAGAAGGAATGAATAAAAGAGTAGCTCTTCTTGGTATTGATGAAAAGTGACATTTCATTATTCCACTGATTGGCAAATCATCGATCAGCTCCGTCGCCGTATATAGCTCGTCATGATTATTTCCAGAAGTCTTCAGGAGGTATTAATGATCTCATCTGTCATCTTGAAGGAGATTTTTCCCAATCCTCTGATCGCAACTCCCCCTGAAAGAAAAAATGTTCCACGAAAACGTCCCGGCTTGGTCTCAATCCACCAATCAGAAACGCGTTTGTGTCCCATCCGCCAATCAAAACCGCGCTTCCAACCCCCCACCGGCCACCGACCAATGAGAACCCCGATCCGCCCTCCAAGCGCCTCCGAGCCGGGCAAGCCAGCCAATGGGCGCGCGGCATTCAAACCCCACGCCGCCTTGCCCAACGGACGCCATATTCCGCGCTCGTCCATGGCGGTTGCGTAGAAAGTCGCGGCGGAAAAGCTCACTTCCAACTCGAATTTTAAAGCGCAGGGACACCCGCCCGCACCCGCGAGACGCCATGAGTGACATTCTCGACCCGAGCAAGCTGAAGGTGACGGAACTGCGCGCCGAATTGCAGGCGAGAGGCCTCTCCACCAAGGGAAATAAGCCGGTGCTGATCGAGAGGTTGCGGGAGGCGCTCGAAGCCGAAGGTGGGTGCGAGGTGACGTTCGGGCTTTTCCCGCTCTTTTGCAGGCTCTGGGGACGCGGCCGGGCTCTGTCGCCGCTCTGTCGTGGCCGCCTCTCACAACCCCTTCTTCCCCGAGGTTTGGGAATGGGGTTTAGCTTCTGACAGCGAGCGGGGGAGGAGAGGGAGGGGGAAATGGAGACTGATTGCTCGCCTTTTTTTTTTGTTTTTATTTTTGTCAGGCAATGGCGGGAACCCGAGCCTGGCTTTCCTCGCGATGACACGTCCTCCTCGCGATGTAGGGCCGCCCGATCGAGCTCCTAGGGCTTCTCTTTCGACCCTGATTCTATAGACCCCATTCTCTCCTTCGTTGTCTTTCCTTTCCGTGTTTTATCCGGTGTTTTTGGCTCCCTTTATTGGGGAAATATTTGAAGGAGGTTTGGCGCGATTTGAGGGGGGGGGGGGGACGGGAAGCGGCTCCCGGTGTCATTTAGTGTCATTTGGTGTCGTTTTGTTGCTTAATTCCTTTCTTTTTGTGGTTTTGTGAGGGTTTTGTGGTCCTGTTTGCACGTCAGGGAAAGGGTAAACAATGCGTGGAATGGACGAGGTTTACACGTTCCGAAAGGGTTCTCGTGTCGGTTATTTTCTTGTTTAATCAGAAATCGGCTATGTAGGCCTATGTAGTGATAGGATTGCGCTAGTTGAGGGTTTTTGGTTATTTTCTGGTTTAATAGGAAGTCGGCTATGTAGGCCTATGTAGTGATAGGATTGTGCTAGTTGAGGGAGTTTTGGCAGTTTATATTCTGCTCGACTGATGTAAATTCAGTTTTGTCTACTATGGACGGGTTACGCTGAGGTTTGGCGCGATTTGAGGGGGGTAGGGGGACGGGAAACGGCTCTGTGTCATTTAGTGTCGTTTTGTTGCTTAATTCCTTTCTTTTTGTGCTTTTTTGAGGGTTTTGTGGTCCTTTTTGCACGTCAGGGAAAGGGTAAACAATGCGTGGAATGGACGAGGTTTACAAGTTCCGAAAGGGTTCTCGTGTCGGTTATTTTCTTGTTTAATCGGAAGTCGGTTATGTAGGCCTATGTAGTGATAGGATTGTGCTAGTTGAGGGAGTTTTGGCAGTTTATATTCTGCTCGACTGATGTAAATTCAGTTTTGTCTACTATGGACGGGTTACGCTGAGGTTTGGCGCGATTTGAGGGGGGGAGGGGGACGGGAAACGGCTCTTGTGTCATTTAGTGTCATTTGGTGTCGATTTGTTGCTTTATTTCTTTCTTTTTGTTATTTTGAGGGTTTTGTGGCCCTGTTTGCACGTCAGGGAAAGGGTAAACAATGCGTGGAATGGACGAGGTTTACACGTTCCGAAAGGGTTCTCGTGTCGGTTATTTTCTTGTTTAATAGGAAGTCGGCTATGTAGGCCTATGTAGTGATAGGATGGTGCTAGTTTAGGGATTTTGATTATCTGGTTTAATAGGAAGTCGGCTATGTAGGCCTATGTAGTGATAGGATTGTGCTAGTTGAGGGAGTTTTGGCAGTTTATATTCTGCTCGACTGATGTAAATTCAGTTTTGTCTACTATGGACGGGTTACGCTGTACCCCGTAGCTGTGGGAAACGAGCTTTATCACGTACCCAGTAGTGTTTTGTGACGTTTCACCATTGCGCTATTGGGAATTTTGCTAAAATGAATAGTCCTATCTCGTATCAGGTTTTCAGGAGAGCTCTCGACTAATAATGTTGATAGGGACAGAAGCAGAGGCCTCGATTAGGCATGATGAAATGTAGTTACAGGTCGGTTGGTTCTCCATACTGGAATTGGTGATTGGTCTGCCATACATTCACGCAGAGACCAAATTTTATAAATGGCAACCTAGTTTTTCAAATACTGAATATCTGACAAAATGCGTCAGTTATTTTAATGACGGGACATAAATACCAATTTCGACACCTGGAAAAAGTCCAGACAAGGTTGTTCTTAATGTCGATGTATTTTTATTTGCCAGTTGACTGAAATGTCGACTGAAGAACGTCAGAAATCGCTAATCTCTTAATTAAGTAGGGTAAAGCTAATTTTCCACCAAATGCTATAACATGGTTCTTGTACATTATTAAGAATTTTTAAAGTGACTTTAATGGTTATTTTACTGTTTATGACAATTTATTCTCGTATGATGAATGAGTCTGATGATCATTTCTGTAGCAATCACAGCTGACAATCTTGGTGTGTTTTGTCCTGATAGCAAGGGAGGGCCAGAAGTATATCAGGGAAATTGTAGGGTAAAACAGGCTTAAATAAGAATAGCGAACAAAAATGCATAAAACCAGCACAAAAAACGCTAAAACTCTGCTAATGGAACTCTACGGACATACCTGCCATCTTTGATAGTCTTCGCACTGATGGGAATCCAACTTATCTTTCGGCAAAATCTATGGGATTTCACACCTTCCAAACCCTAGAAAATGTCCTAACCCATAACAAAACCTAACCTAGCAATTTACGGTACCTTGACTAGGTGTGCCCTTCGGACACTGCCCTAGAGGAGGGTTGATGGAGGGCTCTGCCCCCCAACACCCCCAGGGACACATTCTCTTCACCTTAATATGTACGGCAAGATAGAGCTACTTCCAGACTGTAAACAATAAACCAAATGACTTTATATATTGAATTTTGAACTGTCTAACTTTCCTTTGCATCTTTCGGTTGGGCTATTGTGTGGATAGCTTCGTTTTTAATTCGTATTTCTGCTTTTGAGGTACTTGATGGGCTCAGATTTCAAACTGCGATAGTTATTGATGTCTTTTTCTTTGTTGCCGCTGTTATAGGGCTTAAAATTAACCCAGAATCAACGCAACACTGAAAACAAGACATTTCTTGCTGGCCTTCTGTCAGAATATTGGGTATCCACTTGTCAAACCAGGCGCATGTGTAGATGGTTCTTTAGACAGTTTCTTGTAAAAAACTGTATAATAAGTCTTAAAAATGTAAATGAAGTATATCAATATTAATGAAAGCCTTTGAAAGCATAAATGTGAAACAGCAGACACTGTTAATTAGCCAAATATTGTTTTGCCAAGAACATACTAATCAATGAACTACTTGAGAGAGTGCAGGAATGAGTTAAGTGGTCATAATTGTTTAAATTTGTGATGTCAACATGGCGAAGCACTTTGAAAAAGATTATTTGAGTTGATCATCTCTTTTCTGTCAAGTATCTCCTTTTTTTGATGTGCGCACCTTATTCCATAGACAAAGTCTTAATTTATGTGAAGGTAATCTTTCGTTGCATTTAAATTTTTTTTAACCCGATCGTTATCCGCTGTAAATTTACCTTAATTTTTTGATATATAAGGTCTTATGAAGTCTGTTTCTGTTGTAAAAATCATGTCGGGGTGATTTTTTTTCATCCAGGTCACTGACACAAGGACTAGGCCTACACGTGGGAAGTGTGTATTCAGTGACAAGTGGATCCAGGTCTTTAAAACCAATTGGTATGAGTCTTGAAAGTCTTAAATTTCATCAGTTTATACCTGCAAGAACCCATTAAAGGGGTTTTGTTAGATTTGGTAAATATTTGAATTATTGCCAGTTAATGTTTGTCATATTTATTCTTGTGTAATGAGAAGGAATTTGATGATGCGTTCTGTTGCAAACCCAGCCAACAATCTGGATTATGTAGTCCAGATAACAAGGGAAGGTATGAAGTATGTCATATTTGGGAAATTTGTCATGTGGGCTTAAATTAACCCATATGATCTGGATGACGTTACAGTAATAAAATCTGGGTTAACCCACTTACAACAGGTGTCACTGGTGACACCTGGAAAAATAAACATTACCGGGTGTCCTGCTGGTGTGACGCTTTATCGAAGCTTGCGCCCTGATTCTG